AGACACAACTTTAATTTTCAAATTTAAAACAAAAATAGATTAAACCTTTTTATAATTAAAACATGACAAAACTCCGGATAATGTTATTAAAGTTTATTTACTTATGGAATATGATTTTTTTTTCCCTTTGATGTTATGTCGAGATCACAATTTTAGTAAGAAAATGTTTCAGTCTAGTTTAATCAAGGCTACAATTTTTCAATATAAAATATACCAAGTTGACCTTAATCGACAAGCCATTTCAATTTCAAACCTTACACTCGATTTTAATTTCAAAATATAATTATTTTTTTTCATTTTTTGAAACAATTAACTCCAACCTACATTATATTATTTATTTTTATTTTAAATCCTTTCTTTTTCATCTTATTTTTCGAGAAATTAACCTATATAATTTTCATGTAATGTAATTTATTTTTAAGAAATTCTTTATATAATATAGATTATAGATTTATACTTTTATTTTAATTTTTTAAAGAACAATTAAGAATTATTTTTAAAAAGAAATCAACTGCATTAAAAAAATCGAATATTGTTAAATTTTGGAAACGAATTATTGAGTTGTTAAATTATTATTGTGATTTTTTAAAAATTATTATGCTATGCATTACATTGTTATGTTAGATTGAAAGTATTATTTTACAAATTGTATTTTTAAATTAAAATTCTCAGTTTATCATTAAAATTTTTGTGTATAGTGAAAATTAATAATAATATCAAATTAAATTCAGCTAAGATGCCAAGAATTTTAAAAATCATTAGAAATATTATTAATTTTGGACGAAAATAGTAAATATTAAATAATTATTTTTAAAAATATTGTATAACATTTAAAAAGAACAATGAATATCGAAGATTCAATTAATATCCTTATATAAAAAATAATATGTTGATTATAACATAAATGAACTAACAATTTAATATCCAAAAATTCGAATAGAAGATATATATAAATAGTTTTTCAAATTTCAACTCTTCATAATTAGAGAGTTAATTAGAGAGTTAATTAGAGAGTTGAGTGTAAAATAAAATGTATTCAAAGAGGACATTCGCTATTTATCTCCGAAAAAATATAGGTGCACCTAACCTAAAATATGTCTAAGGCGCATAACAAAAAAACATGAAAGCAGAATTTGTTCAAATTATTCCAAATTTTGAATCTCAGTTTAGAAAATTTTGCCAGAGATATTTATGACACTGAAATGATTGCTAAAAAGACACTGATAAGTGATCACTGAGAACTTTATTGTCATTGGAATTTGATGAAAAAAATGATGTAAATATTTGTGCAAGGTTGATTTGAAATTAGTATAGTATTTGAATATGTAATTTCTAATTTTACAATTTTTTTTTCTTGTGAATATATGCACAGTAAATTTATGAGTGTTGTTTGAAAAAAAAAAGAGTAAATTATGATTTATAAATAAGGTAATAAACATTTTAATGCATTGTATTCATATTTTAGCGTTCATTTTATGGTTATATGTTAATCACAAATTTTTTAACTATAAATATTTTACAAAGTACCATTAATTCAGTAAATCAATAATATTTAATGTTATTTTCTTATATGGTGCAAAATACGGCAAATAATGATCTTTGTTTTGTAACATTTAAGTTTATGGATCGAATTTTTAAGGTTCCAAAAATTGAAATTCTACTTCTTGAATAAATATAAGATATAAAATCAAATTTTCAAATTAATATTATTTTGTTTAAATAGGCATAAACAAATATATTACGTCATAATATTAATCCAATAAAAAAACAAAGAAAAAGTAATTTCAATTTGACACGAAAAATAATACAGGAAAATGTTCAGCTATCTTATTTTGGATTTCCTTTGTTTCTTCCTGGGAAAGAAAAATCATTTTATAATATCAATGATGTCATATTGAATATTAAATTTAAATATATGTATATGACATATTCATCCAAAAAAAAACAAAGAGAAAGCAATTTCAATTTGACTCCTAAAATAATTATTTATTTTTCATTTGATGTTTAATTTTTTAAATTAATGTCCAAATAAATTTCAATCTACGTATTTATTTCATTGTCTCCTTCTAGAGAGGCATTCGGAGAATTTTTTTTTTATTTCACTTCAATAGATCAAATTTAAAACCTTTTAATTAAATAAAAAAATTTTTTGTCACAATTTATATTAGTGAAAAATAATTGAACTAAACTAATAGAACCTGCAAGATTTGGAAGCAAATAATGTTCCACTTTTAATAATATTTTCCTATTCATTTTTATTTCTTCCTTATTTTAAAAATAATTCTTTTTACTTATTATTTTTAACATATTAAAAAACATAATTATATTTTCTCATTAATTTGTTGTTCCGAGTTATTTATAAAACCTAAAAATATTCATTAATTAATATAAATAATATGAGAAATATTTTTTTAAAGGCATGTAAAGTTTGAAATAGATTTAAAAATTATAATGTAGTAATAATAATAATTTATTTATTATAGAAAAAGTAAAACAACAAAACTCATTGGCATTTGATCCGACAGCAAAATGAGTGTGAGACAGAAAATGCATGATTCCACGTTCATGTTGGGCGCGTGACAACACGCGGGGGCCCAACAAGCAAGATGGCGTGGGCTCACCACAAGGATTCGCCGCATTGGATTTGAAAACGAAAACTCAAAAGCCCATTGTCCGCTTCCCCATCTCAAAAAGTTTTTTTCGCGGAAAAAAAGTTACGCGGCTAAGTCAATTTATATTCGTTAATTATTTATTATAATTATAATTTGTTATAATTATTATTCGCAATTAATAAAAATCACTAATTATATAAATTAATTTTAAGTTTGCATAATTAGTTATGTTTGTATAATTCGCCATATTTGTAATAATTCACAACTAATAATTCTTCGCTTGATTTGTATTTGTACACAATGATTTGTATTTGTATATGAGATGATTTCCTTTAGTTTTTCAGTTTTGTCAGCGTAGATATTTTATCTTTTTGTGTATAATTTATTAAAGTTTGTATAAACGTGTAGTTTTCAAATTTTGTATTATATAATTTATATAATTTAATTTTTATTGGTTAAAGTTTATATGTTTATGTTTATATCAATTCGTTATTTCTACTTTCATAATATTGGAAGGATTTTAGACTTTATATTACTCAATTATGCAAAACACACGAATTATACAAATTATTGCCCTCTCTCGCTCGTTTCTCTCCTGCCTCTCCCAGTCTCGCTCGTCTCTATTCTCTCTCTCCCAATCTCTCTTACGATACCCCTGCCCATAACATGTAGCTACGAATTGTAATGGGCAAATTATAGCTATGGAATGTAATTAGGCTAATTTTTAGTGGCTATATGCGGAAGTTCGCCATGAAAAAATAAATAAAATAGTATAAGTGTATGTATATATAGTGTTATATTCATTTGAAACGATTTACATATGTAACACGTCGAATTTAAAATTGAAACTTTAATCCGCTAATGAAATCTTTCAATCTTGATCAACTTAAAGTCATAATAGAATCGTTGTAGCGTCTCGGGGTTCGCTATGGTGGCCCGACGAGCCTTACTCAGAAATATAAGAAATTTAGTAATGTTTTCCCATTTACATATTTGTACCAACTCCTTAAATACCTTACTTACCAGTAAGACTGGTCAACGGACAGGAAACGGTTCACCGGACCGGAATGAATCGGTACCGGACCGGATCGGAATCCGTTGACCAGTACCGGAATGAACCGGACCGGAATTACCGAGATGATTCATCGGTTTCGTCTCGTTCCACTATATATCGGGATGGAACCGGATGAACCGGAACGGATCGGGATGGAACGTGACGGAATTAACGGGACGACATTTTTTGGAATTACGAAAATATAATTATTATTTTTTATTTTTTAAGTATAAATTATAGTTTTTAAATTTATACTATAATTTTTACTTAAGTTTATTTTAAAGATATTTTATTAATTTTTTTGTTGTTGTTAAGTTTGCAAGTAAAGTCTAATAAAGTTTTCAAAATTTAAATCTTTTGAAGTTTATACTTTATAAGTTATACCTTATATTCATTAATATTTATTTTATAAGTTATATTTATAACTTGTATCTTGTAAATATTAAATAAATAAAATTGTAATTTTAAAAAAATTAAATTAAATATAAATTATATAAAGTATAAATTATAAAAAAATTAATATATATTAAATAAATCGGACCGAAACCGTACCGGGTCCAAACGGAACCGGAATGAACCGGGATAAACCGGTACCGATACATCGGTACGAAATCACAGTTTCATTCCGTTCCGTGTACCGGTTCACACTATCCCGTCCCGTCCCGTAGGCAACCGAAACAGGACGAACCGAAACGGTACCGGTACGTCCCGTTCCATTGACCAGCCTTACTTACCATAGACCGTTGTCAAACAAAAGTGTTACACTCATTCGAACCGTAGGCTCATTTAAAACTCCAAGATATTGCCCAGTAACACAATATTAGGTTACACCACATTATCACTTGAATGAATATCAAATAATATTATAGCACACATCATATTATCACACTCCCTATCATACAAGAGAAGTCTTTTCCATGGTTTTCAACTAATACTTACGATTCCAAAATTAAAATTTCTCCACAATCCTAATTAATTATTTTTTCCTTGCCACCTTTACCAATGATAAGTCCATTCCAATTCTTTTTAGAAATAAAATTAACTATTGTGATTCAATTTCTTAGGTTTCAAATAATAATAAGGGAATGACTGCGGCTTTTACCAGGAATCATAAAATCAATATCTTTTGATAAAGGTTTTCTTTAAATTATCTCATGTTGAACCACAAGGTTATAAATATGATCATGACCTCTCGACCTCTAATCGCCTACAACAGATATTATCCTAACTACATTATTGAGTGGGGATAAAGTGATAAAAGTTGAGCATTAAGATATCTTCCTGTATGATGATTCAAACAAGGTTTTTAGGTATATCTCTATCTTAGAAACGAATTAACCCTAGTCATTTAGAGTCAACCGAACTTCTTATATTCCATGTTTTATTCTCTTATTCCTCTCTCGTGTTCAATTTGGACAATAAATTTATTTCTATGGTGGCCAATCATGAAATACAAAGAGAAAAAATATAAGAACGAATCATAGATAACTCATAGCAAAACCATTAACAAATTCAACAAATTCCATTCATCTGTAGCCACAACCCTTGAACTAGGGTAGTTAGCTACTCATAATCATCAAATCAATCTTCCAAATGTATGTGAATCATTCGAAAAGTTTAAAGATAAAAGATGAAAGGACTGAATATAACCCTAAAAACTTACAAAGTTGTGATCCTGTTTTTCCCCTTCGAAAATAAGAAAAAGAATAATTAATAAAACTAAAATACAACCCTATTTATACTAAAGTCGATTCGACCAATTTTGGGCTTCAGGCGCGCGACGCATAAGCATTTGATTCTTTGGATCCAAAGAGGAAGCTTTTTGCGCGACGCGGAGGTAACGCGAGGTCTTCTGCTTCGAAATTAATTTGAGGATTACAGTTGCTCTTCTTGCCTCGCGACGCGGAGGTAGCACGTAAATGCCTTTGAGGCATTTCTTCAACTTCATTTTGCTCCATTCCCTCCTTAGGTTTCTATGTTGCTTCCTTTTCTCCTTTTAGTGCACATTTCTTTCACATCGCCTACCTACACAACCAATCACGTTGGTTAGTTTAGAAACACAGAATTAACTCAATACGACTCTTAAACCTAAACTTAACGACTCCAAACAAAGTATAATTATGAGCAAAATTAGCAATATAGGTACACAAATATGCCCAAGATCATGTATCATTTTATTTAAAGAGATATTCTCCATTTACATATTGTGGTATATACAAACAATTCTCTTTCAAGGATACAACAAAATCCTTTGTTTATACATGCATGTTTTTCTTAGGCTACTTCTAGAGAGTTTTTATATTTATTGAACTTAAGATATGACTCTTCATAAGAATCATGTTCTTTCATAAAGACATGATTTTTCATAAGAGTGATATTCTTTCATGGACATATGATTTCTCATAAAACTCGTATTCTTTCATAAACATATGATTTTTCATAAAAGTCATCCGCTTTCATAAACAAATAACTTTTCATAATAGACATGTTCTTTCACAAACAAATGTGTTTACCCAATTTAAGACCTCTATATATTACAACATATCCAACAATCCCCACTTTCATAATATCATATATGCATATAGGTGAAATTAGATGTTATGTCCATATTGTTTTAGACGTTTACTAATTTCATTAAAAATCAATTTGACCTATGTGTAACAATCAATGCTCCTGTTATTTCACATATTTAAGAACTCCTCAACTTTTCATATAACAAACAGTATACAATATACTTGAATCAAAGCTCTATAAAGAGAAGACTCATGCTTTAACAATACAAAATAACTTGTTATTACCCGTTGAATTTGTACTGTTAGAATGTATACTAACTTAAAGTTGGGTTCCCATCACTAGTGTTTGGGTTTAGGGATTTTAGTCTTATTTATTCGAACATTTATTATACTGTATCTTTTGAAACTAAAATTTACAAGATTAATATGAATCCTAAACAAATCTTTCACATAGGCATATCACAAAATTTCAAAATTATATCTCTAATTATTTTATTTCATTTCAAGCATTTATATGCTAGATATATTCTTATTCCACAATTGAAATTAAAACTTATGGATACATGTTACAAATCCAACTTATATGAATTTTATCATTATCATTACAAGATTCACTATTTATAAATCACCAATTCATCTATGTATGAATGGTCACGTCTATACTAAAATTATCTTACAATAAATACTTTTTTTTTTCATTAAAGCTACAACATTTCAAGCGGCATTATTTCACAAAATTATATAGTATTTTCTTTTAAGAAGGATTTTAGCATAATCATCACATTAGCAGTTTAAACAACTAATCATCGTAAAATTGTCAATTTATAAACACAAACTAACATGTAAAGTACATCAAAGATATATCTTGTGAGTGTTAAAAAAATAATTTATATCTTAAACTTCTTCAAATATTATCATATGTCAATCACCCCACACTTAAAATGTTTCAAATGTCCTTTTCATAAATTGTGATTTGTGTGGACATCTAATTAACATTAGTAAATCATCATATTGTCAAATTTATAGTGTCCCACTACTATAACGCATAAACATTTATCTAACATCAATAGGTTATTTTGTTGTCAAATTTATCGTGTTTCACTACTATAATTAATTAGCATTTAATTAAAAAACAAAGTCTTTAAGATTTAAAGAACGCAAAATGATCTAACAAAAATTATCATTTCTCTTCATTTCAATTATTTTAGTAACTTCAAGTATAAATATTATCTATCAAAATAAACGAAATTATATATCTATCTCATAACTTAAAAGTAAAATCTACGTGATCTTTATGCAACACAGTAATATCATAATAATTTTCTTTTTCCCAATAATGAGTTTATAATAAGCATATCAGATATGTCATTTCCAAACTTATTTAAATGCATTTCAAGATCATATCAAATAAATTATTTATCATAACATTTATAAAAAATCATTTCTCAAAAATTTCGAACAATAAGATTATTGGTCCTTAATATAGAGAAGCAAAATCCTTTCTATGTCATTATTATAAGGGGTAAAAAGTCAATATTATCTCTCAACTTTGTTTTATCGGTTATTTTTATTCTTGCCATTAAAAGCAAGTTATTTTTATTTCTACCATCAATAAACTTAAAAAATATACCCCTTTTTGAACGGAAACTCCCCAAATTAAATTGAAATTACCCGATTTTAATTAAAATTATCCAATTTCTTTTTCAATCCGAATCAAAATCCAACCTACTAAACTAAACAAAATCCATAACAAATTAATCTATCTCGATCTTCTTCATCTCAGTGTTTTTGGCTAAAAACACTAACAATCTTTATCATAGCTAACACATGACTTTTACATTGTCTAACAAAATCAATCAAAACTAAACTTTTAGACAGCAACGACAGTTTTCATTTTTTCCCATTTATCACGGTTACCTTTTTAAAATTGTTAAAAAAACAAATACGAAATACAATTGAAAAAGAAGATGATTTTGAGGTGTGCAGTCACTTTTTTATAGAGATATTGCGTATTTATATATCAGAGTAAATACAAACAATTTTCTTTTAGGATACAACAAAGTCATACAGATTTTTTTAGACTATTTTAAGAGAGTTTTTATATTTATAGAACTTAAGAGATGACTCTTCATAAAAGTTAAATTCTTTCACGAAGACATGATAACTTTTCATAAAAATCGTATTCTTTCATAAACATATAAAAAAAGTCGTGTTCTTTCACAAAAAAATAATTTTTCATAACAATATATTTTTTTACGAACAAGTGTGTATATTCAATTTAAGAGATTTATATATTACAAAACATCTAACACTTAGTAAGGAATTAAAATACATTTTTTAAAGATAATTACTTTAGTAAAATAAATTTCTTAAAAAAAATTGTATTCATTAATCAAATTACGTAAAATAAAATTTCAGTTTTATTATCTTTTTTCTCTTTCATCTATCCAATACAACACCCCCCACCCCCCGTCTCAACTACCATCCCTGGACTATTCTACCCTGCTACTCTATCTCATAACCTTAATGTTTTTTAGAATTACATACTAATATTATTTTTAAAATAATATTTCCTTTACTAAAAAACATTTTTTTTTTCACATGAAACACACTCATGGTGGTGGATCTTAGTTCTTATACTATAGGACAAAGAATAAACTGATTTTATTTTTTCCCCAAAAGCATTTTGGGAAGTGTGAAAGTCATATTTTAGGGAACCCTTTTTGAAATATAACAAAAGTTGCAGGAGCAAAAACCACGCCTCTACAACTAAATTGAACTTTACAACAACCAATTTGAACAAATGTCAATATTCAATACTACTTTTATTTTTTCTTTCTTAAAGCCAGAATAAATATCCACGTATATTTGATAATAAATTACTTAATAATATGAAGAAAAAAAAGGTGCTTACTATAATTGTATATTAATATAGAATAATATTATGGTTCTTGTTATTTTTTGTATTAAAGCGGAGAAGTGGAAAAAAATATAAATACTCGATCAAAAATCTAAACGATGTGAAATTAATTAATCCTATGGCAAATTCATGGAGAAATCTCTGAAAAAATTGGCTCCTGAGAAGTTCTAACATAGAAATAGTTCAAATTTTCTAGTAACTCATGAAATACAAAATTCAGTCAAATGCTAGTATATCTACTAATTACCCTAATTGAAAAAAATAAATAACACTAATTTAGGGTCAAATATTATTTTAATATTAAGAGTTCCTTGAATTAGTGTCATATTTCTTTAGATCTACTCAAGGGGTGCTCTTTGCAAGTAGCTTGTTTCATTTCCAAATAGAGTCTATAAGATCAATCTGTCACGACCCGAGCCTATACCCTAGACGTGGTCGACATTCAAGAGTCATTGTTGGTCCTCAAGCGAATTCTCATCCTGACCAACTACAAGTAGAAGACTAACTCAAACATATAAAAGCTTTCATACTGAAAGAAGAGTTTAAAACAGTTTACTGAATTTCAAAACTTCGCTCAATAAACTGAGTATGAAACATACGTTTTAAATAAAACATATGAAACTCTCTAACAATGTTTATCTATGAAGCTTTTACTATACAAAGATAAGTGTCGTGACAAGACCCACTATTCCTCAAGGAAGCTACTACTAACAACTTAAAAAACTGAAATCCTCTAGAAGCAAAGAGGTCTTACTCAAAAGTTGACGATCATATGAAGTGATCTCAATGGACTGTTGTTGAGAATCCTAAGAACTTGAATCTGCATCATCAAAAGATTCATATCGAATGACACCAGTACATTGAATGTACGAGTATTTAATATAGATATATAACAAATAACTTCATAAATGACTATAATAGATATAAATATATAATCAACTAATTGTAAAGAAATAAAGAAGCGAAATCTTTTAAACTTTAAAAAATACTTAATTATCTTTGAACTCAACATATTAAGTTATATAATAAAAATACACTTTTAATTTATTTGGGAGATTCTCTAACTGACGACTATCACTATTAGATAAATGATGATACATCTCTCCCATTTGTAAAAACTGACTTATACCGTGTCGGGGTATAACACCTCTCAATTAAGTGGATCAACTAAGCAATAAGGATTCATCTAAAAATTATGATCTTTTTTCCATGTGGACATATATTTACATGCTTCAAAAAAAAATCATAAACAAAAAGTGTATATCTTACTAATTTGCCTTTTAATATTTTTTCGTTGACTTTTTACTTATCACGTTTGGACTTGACATATCCATTATTATGATAGAACATAACTCTTATGAAAAGTCATCTCTTAAATTCTATAAATATTAAGACTCTTTAAGTTCTCTAAGAAAAATATGCATGTATAAATAAAAGATTTTGTTTTTGTTTGTATTTTTTCAATATGTATACGGGCAATATCTCTTTGAAGAAGGTGATTTACACCCCTCAAAATCATCTTCTTCGTCAATTATATTTCCTATTATTTTTTCTAACACGTGTAAAGTCTTGGAAACTAATTAGAAAATAAATAATTAGTGCGAAGGATAAACTGCTACTGAAATTTAAACCCTTTATTTTATGGAAGATCGAACACTTTATGAAAACTATAATAATTCATATTCGAATCAAATGCATTCAATTTAATAAATATTATTCAAATTAATTGAATTATAATTATCTTTATGTAGCATAAGGCCCGTGCTTGCACGGGCTTATCATCCTCTAGTGTATATAGGTATATAATCATACTCAAATGCATAAAACATACTCTTTCTACGGGCCTATCATCCTCTAGTGTATATAGGTATATAATCATACTCAAATGCATAAAACATACTCTTTCTCTAAGTTGAGATAATTGCTCAATCTATCCTCTTAAAAGAGGTAAACGCTCTGAAATATCTCTGAACTCATAAATTCGTTTAGAAATCAAAGTTTTTCTTTTCTCAAAATAATACTATCTCTTTTCATGTATAAATGAAACATTTCGAAAATACTTAGTTCTATTACACTCTTTCTCAAACTCCTCTTTACTTCCTAAAAAACACAGTTCAAAACGCTATATTGTTGGCTTTAAAAGTTATCAAAATTTATAACTAAAAATAGGGTTCATGTTTAAATATAGACATGAACAAATCAACTCAAGAAACTCAAGAATCTTAATAACAATATTGAAAATTCAAAACAGAACTCAAGAACTCAGAATTCAATGATGCTACACTTCTCCAAAATACTCAATTCATAGGGTTCATGTTGAAACATAGACGTTGAAATATTGACACAAACGAATCAACTCAAGAATCTCAATGCATAACGTTTAGCAACTCAACCATTATGAATAGAATTTCAAAGAGAATTAGAAACTCAAGAACTCAAATCAACTCATTCAAGAATACTCAAATCTAGGGATAAAACCCTAGAGTACTCTTTTAGTGATTTGAAAGTAGATGTATGTCATGAGGACGAACTAGTCCAACACTATTATAGCCTTACATACTTGGAAGAACAAGATTCTTGAAGAATCTTGAAGAAAAACTTGATTAGAAGTCTTGAAACCCTAATTTGAAGGAGAACAATCAAGAGATCCTTTCTTGAGATTCTTGAATTAGTTTTTTGACACTCTATCGCAAAAAAATAGGATTCTCATTGACGATTCATAATTGTATGAAGAAACTTGAGTTGGAAAGAATGAAATTCTTGGAGAAGACTTACCTTGAAAAAGAATCTTGAATGAAATCATTTACTTTGATTTTCCTTAGAGTTGGAGAGAGAAGAGAATGGGGATTAAGAGATGAAAATTTGAGTGGTTTAGGCTATTAATTAGTCAAGAAATTTGTTTAGGATTTTCTTAAAGATAAAAGGATAAAAACGATTTCTTTTAATATTTTTTCGTCGGTTAATTCATCACTGCACCATATCAGATTAGTAAAATAATCATAAGTCTGTACATTAATGCAAGCTTCCTTTCTGAATGAAGGTAGACAATAGGTAGAAGGTGACAACCCTAATTGACATCAATGCTTAAAATGTTTAATCTTTATTGCCTAAGGGTTCAATGAAGCTGTCAAATAAATGATGATTGAACGGAAGAAAAATCACTATTAGGGATATGATTTGGAGGGGTGACCTTCACACCACCAAGTGACCAAATATGTGGTCCTATTTGTACATACCCAAAAAAGGATAATGTGATTAACTTGCTTGAACGAATCTGTTTAATTGCTATGAACAAGATGAATCTCTTACTTGTGTCGTACCTACATTAATGAAAAAGAATTTTATAAGATTTTCGAATAAGAAAGATCGACCATGATGTGTCAACATCTTCATACTAAAATACATTTGGAAATTATACCTTAGTGGTTGAATGTGCACCCAAACAATTGATATTTTCCTAATTTTACCAAGAGATTTGTCATCAAAATCTGAACGCGCTCGGAGAAGAAAAGATAAAACACTTTAGCCTAACGGGAATGAGCAACGACAAAATGAGAAGATGAGGTTCTTTGAACACCTATTTAGGCGAGTCAATTTTCGAAATGAAAGTGAAAGAGTTAAGTAAAAAATGTGTGTGATCTAGGCCCTTATGTGGTCCATGCTGAATTAATTGTATCCTGGACCAAAAGAAGTGATCTATTCAAATTTGACAAAGGACTCCCCCCCCCCCCCAATATGCTGCACCTCTAGCAATGAGCGGGAGGTATTAACTTCTTATCATGGTATCAGATTCAAAATTACCCCAATTGTTAGTTATTTGATGTTGAACACCAACATGTTATTATTTACGCTTCAAAAATTCAAACCAAATATACAAAGTATTACTTATTGAAGTTATATAGATTATCCAAGAGGAAAGAAATTTGAATTTAGGTTCTTTCATTCGTAGAAATTATCAAGAAATACTCTTCATGACTATATATATTAGTGCTCACTAAGTAAATAACTATCACTAAAGAGAGGGAAATATATTGAGTTTCCCAAATTGATTTTCATGAACTAACTTTTAGATTGATTTAGATTCAAAATTTATTTTTTATCGAAGACAAAATGAAAGTCCTAATGTCCTTTTATATATGACATAATTTACTAAATGACAAGTAAAATTAAGGAACTAATGTTGATTTGTCTCCCAGGAGAAGTGTCAACCAGAATGATTATTAGGTAGCCAAAGAGCCTAGTGGTCCTTGTAACCCAAAACATTGGAGGCAAATAAAAAAATAAATGAGTTTTTGTAGAATTTGTGCATTTTCAATTAAGTGATTTTTATATTATGAAAAAATAAATAAATTAAATTGATATAAATGTTATTAAGTAATTATAATATAATGAAAAAATGACTTTGTAATATAAACCTATATTTCAATATTTGGGTAATAACATTCTTGTACTTTATATGTTCTCTCAACTACTTATAAGAAGATACTTAAATAAGCAATATATCAAAATAGAATCTAAATCAAAATGAAACCTTATTCTAAATTTCATTTTAGTATCTAACCACTAGACCTATTTGAACTAATTATAATTAGTAAAGTTTAATTCTTTAGTTTTGTCAAATATAATAGACTACTCAAAGTGTATGAGCTGGATAGTCTTTACAAATTTAAAGGTAAAAATTAAAATAAATAATGAGATTATTCATGTTCAACTACACAAATCATTATGTCATTTGTGTGGGGCCATCTTCATAAAATAAAATTTACTTATAACTAATATACAAATTATACAAAAAATTATTTTTATATTCACACGTAAATTAAATCATCTCTTTTTCAAATTTACTTGCAAATCTCAATTAATATCACGTAATTGAATTGAATTTAAGAGGAAGATATTTACTATATTATTTCTCATTTTCAATTTAATTTGATTGAATATGAGGTTTAAGAAATAAATTATATATTTTAAATTTAAAATATGTATATTCTCTACAATCTTGTCATTAAAAACTTACAAAAAAAATTCAAAATTTATTAATTATAATTTTTTTATTAAATTAAATATATTTAAATTGAAACGAAAAAATATTAAAGACTAAGCGATCTTATTCATGTTCCATACAAAACCCTCGATACCTTTTAGTTTTATATTCTACATTATATTATGTCTAGCTATCATGACAACTATTTCTCCTTTCTTTCCTTTCTCCATTATTGATTGACATTATACTAATCATAATGATAGTAGAATCAATAATTCAACCCCACCCCCCACCCCCTAACACCCACTTCTTTAATCATATTAGTAATATATTTTTTAAGTATTGTGTGTATTTTATAATAATAATAATATGTAAAAGTATGAAAGTGAAAGGTTGGACCCCATATGTTGGTGACCCCATATAGACAAGACTCATTAGTGATCCCAAATCATCAACTTAAATAATTTTAATTTAGAAAAAGCAAAGAGAATTAAGAATACCACCTGCTTTTATGTTCTATTTTGGGCAATTTTTTCATAAGCCTTGATAATTGATGTTTTCTCTGTTTCAAAATATTTATTGTGTATTTAATTTTTATTTTAAAATATATACTTTTTTTAAATTAAATTTGTTATAGTTGTGTGTTGTACATAAAGTGTTTGTAATAAAGATAAAAAAATATTTATTTCAAAATTTTAAAATAAGAGAATATAACTTTTAAAATGTTTCTTTCAAATCCAAACCTTTTTTTTTCCTGTCACCTCCTTTATGTCAAACTCTGAGAATAATTACTCTTGTAAAAATCATTTTCCTTTTAATACATTCTCTTTTTAAGTTTAAAAGATGACATTTTTTAGATTAGTGGATATTTAAGGTAAAGTGTCCAATGGTTACGACAATTTATCTATAACGTGAGAGTTTTATTTCGTAATTTAATTTAATCTATATATATATATATAAATTTTAATTTAAACAGAACAATTATGACGGTTTATAACATCCTATAAATACTAATACATTCTAAAATAAGCGGATTCAATTTTACATGTGTCTTTTAGCTTTTGGTCTAGTTTATATTAGTAATTTTTAAAGATTATATAGACAATAACTTTTTTTTTTTATGGATCAAAAATCATTTGTTGAGAATTTCTTATTATGCACTAAAAATATTTCATGTCCTTGATCCATTATTGTTTGCATTGCCAAAAATCATTGTGAATGATATGAAGTGACTAAAGCGGAGAGGAAAAAACATGAAGAAGATGAATTACCCTACTGAGGTTTGGTTTAGAATGGATTGATTGATCGTATGATTTATATTTTATTATGAAAGTTTAAAGAATTTTTGTTGAATAATATTATCGATCGCATATGAATACGAAAAATAAGGTATAAATAGTTTCTTGTCTTCTCAATATTTTAAATTTAATATTACTGCCTATTACGAATCAACTTCATAAACTACGTGTAAATTTTAGTTTTGAAATTAAGGGATGTTAGAAATGAGAAATTTACATACACTTCAAATAAGCACATTTCAAATCTATGTAAAATTACTTGTACATATATAATATTATGAGATATTTCAAATTATTGAGAGATTATTAAATATAGTTTGCCAATTATGTGGGCATTTTTTTAAAAAGGATAAATTTTGGGATCTTTTCAACTTCTATAAATAAAAATATATCAGATAAATAATATATTCTATTTGCTATGTTTTAGATTTTATTGAACCTTATAAAGATATATTCGTGAACCCTAAAAAATATATAGACAATCAACTCCTAAATAGTGATAATCTTTTATACCTCAAAACCTTTATTTCTTTATCATGATAATTTTAATATTTCTAATAAACACTAATAAATTCAATTTATTTGTCTCAACTTTTTAGTAATCTCTATGTGCATGGTGCTTATCAATAATTTCATAACCTAAAAATTCTTTAAGAAGATATTCGCATCCCTTTCTAAGTTAATTTTTTTTATAATCATTAATTTGGGTGGCAAACTTTAACCCATCATTTTACATGGGATGAATTTGGCTAAGTCTATTTTATTTTGTGCACTTAAAATTAAATTAATATATAAAAACTTTATCATAATTTTAAAAATGTTTTTGATTTTAATATGTTATTATAGCAATAATAAAAAAACAAATAAAAATAAAAATTTAATTAAATTTGAAAAAGGAGTGTGTGGTTGGGGTGGCTTTTAGGCCCATAATTATTTAAGTTCATTTTAAGTTTAATCAATTTTATCCAAAATAATTTATGATCACAGCGTTGATCCATCCATTTATTAATATTTTAATATTAAACTACTAAAATTTTGATTCTTTATTTGCTGGCTAACTAATAAGGCATCATTGAATCATAAACATCATATGTATTACTTTAACGAGTTCAGTATAGCCCAAAATAATTATGATAATAATAGTAGAAGAAAGCTATCAAAAACAAATTAATGTTTTTCTTTTCTAAATGTGAATAATTCAACTATTATTATAAATCAATTGGCCTTATTATGATTAATAATTTAATAAAATAATATTATGCATTCATTAACTATGATTAAGTGATAGAAGTATATGTACAACCTTATACATTCAAACAATCACTTGGTTTGATATATTAGTTATGGATAAATTATCTGTACAAGAATTAATGATATAAGAATTGTTATGTATTGAATAAATCATATGCAAAGAAATCTATAATGAATAAGTAATATATGATTCTTTTTTCTTTTTGAAATTTATCTATCAATCAATTATTTCTGTTTTTATATACTCTCTTATTAATACACATATTATTTTCATGTAAAATACTTGAATTGGAGGATATATTAAATATGAAAGGAAATATATAATTTTTCAAATAAACCAAAAAAAAAAACCAACAAAAAATATGCTCACTCCTATTTTTTTTTAAAAAAAATTT